TTTGCTGCCCTAAAACACTCTGTTCAGGCCACCTTGAAAATAAAGGTCTTGTAGCTACAATTCTGTTCCCAGGTATGGCGCGCATCAGGCTTCACAGACAGTGGAAATAGCTTCTTCCCGGCTTTGCACTGCGAATCAGCCCCACAAAAGCGCTGGCTTTCGTTTTGCAGCTTCTCAGGTTGAGTTAGATATGCTTGCTGCTAAGATCGGCTGAAAAGCGTTTTTCCCGAGTACCAAAAGATTCCAAAGGACCCAAAAGGAGTGGTTTGAGAATAGACGAATGAGCAGCCAAGATGCAGAATAATTACCAGAACCAGTAACCAGTTGGAACCCACCGAACTGACCAGACATACCGGACTGTTCGTGTGAAAAGCCAGGAATGTGGCAAGAAATCCATTAGATGTCGGGGACCAGTAGGGGAAATTCCATCCGATTTCGCTAAGCAGAAGAAGACACTTGGCCATCATTGGCCTGTTCGGTTCAGGGTGGCCCCCCCCCAATCCTGTAAAGGTAGATCAGCCCTAGAATCAGCAAGAGATGTTTCATGTCAGTGTTTTTGTTCACAGTTTTCGACCGTTTTCCGAGTGATGACATCAGGCCACTGATTGAAGGGAACAGTTGTCGACAAAGCCCCATGACGGCCCGCGTGGCGCCCTTCGCGTGGTCGTCCTCCACGGCGCTGAAACGCGAACGTTCAGTGACGTGCGGACGATGCCCAGGCAGAACTTCATGGCCCTTCAGCTGGGCATTGCGGTGACGAACACCGGCAATAAGACCCTGGGCGACACCTGTTTCAGCGGGTGCCTGGGGGGTGAAAGTGGCGACCTATGTGACATGGGGTTCAAAAGGAAAAAGGGCAACTTCTCAAGTCCTGATCTGTGACAGCCAACTTTCTTTGCACGGCCCGTTGAAGGAGTTCTATCCAATGCTCACTCAGTCCTTCAGTCCTTGCCCTGCTTCGCGGGTGAAATGTTTCAGCACATCGGTGAGTTCACCAGATAGAAAACAAGACTGGACTCCATGCACGGGACAAGTCGATCTATGGCTCGGTCGATCTCGCTACAGTACATGGTGGACTGGTCACGCTCCATGGGACTACCATATTTGCCGATCAGTTGGGGTGGTTTGGGAGGTCAATGTAGGCATATATGGTATACATGGAGTGTATGGGATATACATAACCTTTAACCCTTTTGGGGGATTGGGAACACCACACGACAAAAATCCAATGAACTCCTTTTGCGGATGACTCCACGGCATTGGGAGTCTGACTGACTGACTGCGGCATCGGGAGTCTGCCTATGGTTGTGGCCACATGTGATTGTTGTTTTTTGTTACCGCTTGGTTTGTAGTATGACACGGGGTCTTGTTTTGACAAGACATGTGTTTCTGCCAGAACAGCGTTCAGAACATCGGTTTTCCATGGCTTTCCGGCGGTTTGGTGATTTGGCCATCCTTTCATGTGGCTGTCAACTTGAAGGGTCGGTTCCCCCGTTGGTATCTCTTCCGAACAACAACGGGAAACACCGCCTGGCATGGAAACCGTGATACGCACGGAACGGTCAGAGGACGATGGTGAGCCCGAAGTTTTGGCAGTAAGGACTGGTTCACTCCATGGTTCAAGCCTGCTCAGGGACACAAAGGCCCACATGGCTTTCCTTATGCCCTATAGTTGATGGCTCCCAATCTTCAAGTCTTACCGGTCAAAAGACCCAGTAAAACCTGGTCCTTTACCTCATTGAGTAGTGATTGTGTACGATCATTCAGTAACATGAGGTCATTTCCCTTGCCTGTAGGCTTACATAGGCATACTGTTCTTCACTGCTGCAGGCTTTTTGTGGCTCAGAATCTTCCAACCGACCATTGACCCAAAGGACCAGCGAACTCGATGGATCTCCAGGCGAACGGATTACAAAGTGTCTCTCGGCCCAAACGCCCACGGTGTTCTCCTCGGTCTGGTGTTGCAAAGGTCTCCAGGTGAAGAAGAACCCAAATTCTAAGACGACTTCAAAGTGGAGATGATATTTTGAAGTGTTGCCTCTCCACTCACCCACCCAAGCGGCCCGAGCGGCCCGAGCTCAGCTTGAGGACACATTCTCGGGGTGTGAGGGCTCATTTTTCTCCGCAGTATCCGACTTCAAGGCGGACCGAGTCAATAAACCTGCTCTGCCACCATTCAAATCAGGGCTACCACCATCCAAAAACATGTCATGCAACTGTTCCCAACAACAGGGCCAAAAGTGGCTGAAACATCGTGAAACATCTTCACACCTTCCAAATCTCTAGAGGTCAAAGCTTCTTGACTGCGAAAGCAGCCACAATCCTCCTCTTGTCCTTTGATTTTTAGGCCGAAGACTAAAGCCCGTGACTAGAAGCAGCTACAACGTCCCAAATGTCTTCCTCTCGTGCTGTGAAGCGCGAACCACGGTGATTCTCTTCGGTTGACATGGGATGAAGGGTGATCCTCCGCCGTCCGGACCACGCAGAGTGATCGTGATCACCCGACCTGTCGCAGTCGTGTGATGGCTGTAGTGATGGCTGCTGCGTGTCCCCCTGGAACATGGACCACAACCCATTGGTGGAGGCTTTGCCTACTTAAAATCCCATATTTCTTGTTTATCCTCAGACAAGAAATCCATGTTGTTTGGAATGTTGTTTTCTTAAAGCTAGAGAATGGTCATCCCAGATGCTTGAAATCAACGACCAGAACGATGAAGTGGATGAACTCGTTCTTCTGGCATCTCCTGGCAAAAGATACAATTTTGGAACATCCTCAAACATTTGTTTACACCCTGGAAGACTAACATGGACCCTGAAAACCACGTCGGTTGGTAGAGGAAAACAATCTTGCAGGGCCAGTTTTCGGGAGTGTAACTGTTGAACTCTTGTTTGGACCATCCCTTTAAACAAGTTTGGACCATCCCTAAGAGTATTCCTTAAACCAGCCCTTGGTACCGTAGCCCTTGGTAGCACGCTGTAGTCAGAGCGCAGCGCCGAGGTGATGTCGAAGAGGTTCATGAAGAACAAGCTGCTGGGTTCGAAGAGGTTTTCTTCGGGGTTTTAGATGTGAGGTTCACAGAGCCAAAAGGGATACCCTCCTTGAGGCAATCAACCATGGAAGCATCAATCAACTATGGCTGTATTGCCTCCCTCAAACCATCATGGAAGCAGGCTGGAAGCAGGCTGCAGACCCCCCCCGCGTAGAGGACAAGACTTGGTCGAAACCAGGGGTCGAACTGTTCCACTTCCATGATTGTTTCAGGGAGTGTATAGGGATGGCTTTGGATCTCAACAGATCTCTCACATGAAAGCGAAGAAGATCGCTACAATAGCTTCTTCAGTTTCTGCGAGCCAACATACCGGCATCCTGGACATCCCCGGTGGCTTTGGCTGAAACGAACCAGTTGCTATGGCTTGGTTTCAGTTCTTCGACGGTGGCGAAGTTGGGTAAGCGTGTCATCTACTCTGAAACAGGGCTCTAAACCATTCCCTAGGGCTCCTGGCCCCATGTCCGGTTCGGTGGTTGGACCCTTAATTGGCACCCACCCCTGGCCCATCTTCGAAACGGAGGTGGTTGGAGCTTTAGGCATTGTAAAGCATCTTCACGCAATGTCATGGAAGATTTGGACATATTCAAAGGTGCAATGTTGAACAGGCCCAATGTACACAGGGCCACGTGACCTGGGCGATGGCTCGTTGACCCGTTCACTTTCTCCCCAGCAAGATGGCCTTCGGAGCTCTGCCCCACATCGCCGTGGCCATGAAATCGTGTTCCAGGTTTCATGCAGATGTATGCAATTCTCGTGTCATGGGACATCAGAGAAGACTGATCTTCGATCGATCTGTGAGATGGCGACTTCTTCTTTCGGCCTCCAGATCTTCCTTTTCGGGTTGATTGTTGATTAAACATTAGACCCCCTGCCCATACGGAGGTGCGTTCAATCTGTAGAATGCAGGGTTTTTATTTAGTCAAGACTCAGCAGTACCCTGTTCTTGTTGGGCTATACAACCAAACAGTTCTGCTCTCGGATTGCTAGTTGTCGCAACATCACGTTCTTACCAAATAGCAGGGATCCTTTGAACCTTCTTTTTCATTCAATTATAGTCCAGATATGTCCAGACACTCCACCACGGAATACATCATTCAGCACTTGAAAATCACAAACATATTCCATACATGCATGGAGTGTTTGGCCTTTTCTTCCCAGTAGCTTTTCACTCGCACTGTTATTCCACCACCCCCAGGTATTTCCTCCGCTCACTAAGAAGCCACTCTAGCCGACATCGACATCGACATCGGCCGTAGGGTCCTGTGCAAGTACTTCGCAGAGGGCACGTGCACCCGTGGCAAGAGATGCCGCTTCGCGCACGACGTGAAGCTCGCATCGCCGCTGCTCTCACCTCTCGCTGCTGGGGACGACCACAGGGTGACTCCGGCGAACTCGTGGCGTAAGGCGAAGGGCGAAGGTGACACGGGTGAAGTCAAGTGACAAGCTTTTAGGACCACTCTGACCGTTTTCCACAGCTTGATATGATGGTTGCAGCTTTGCGCAAGAGCAAGGAGGGTGCATCAGATGGTCTTGACTCTATTATAGCATTCCCACGTAATTACTTCAGAAGGTGTTTGGATCCCTCTGGCACCCACCCCAGTCCAACCTTCGAAACGGATGCACTTGGAGCCCCTGGGTTGGATGGTTTTGAAGGTGCTACTAGGAAACCTAGCATCATGAACCTCGAAAAGTGGGAAAAATCCATTGAACAATGTTCCACCAGTTCTTTCACCAGTTCGCGGGTTGATGGATGAGTTTGACGGCACTGGATCCTCCCAGGTTGATCGATGGATGTCACACACCTCCACGGCTTCGTCCACGGCGGAACTTACGGGGGAAGCAGGGCTGAGAATGCCCATGATGCGACCAGTGGTGCCGTGGCGGGATGAAAGATGACCTGGATGACTGCGGATGAGATGTATGGTTTTGATTGTCCTAACAATATGGATGAATCATCACAGGAAAATCAACATAAACCATCATAAACCCATATTTGGGATGAATCATCACCCAATACTGTATGTATGGATGAATCCACGTCTCAGGAATGCGTTTGTTCCCCAGCTTCCTGAACTGCAAATCCAAGATGACCAGTCGGACAGTCTGGTGACTCATCGTCGGACAGGCGGTTGGACTGTCTCAGGTCGGTTTCCACCAGGCAAATGCCTTGGGGTGGGTGTTTTCTTTTCCAAAAATGACTCTGGGAGACCCCCCTGACCATCCTGGCGTCGCCATCATCTTGCCTGGGTCAACTGCTCGACTCGAGCTCGACCGGGGGTCGGTCTGGACCCATGGTCTCGACGCAGCAGCGACCGACACAGCGCCGTCATAGGTTGGTCTCCACGCCCTCAGGGCATGCCTCAGGGTCCTTGAAAAATATCCAAGCAGCATCCCTCAGGGTGGTGAGATGTGTCGGATGTGTCATGTTCCCAGCACCCGGGGGTGTGGACCGGAGCGTGAAATCAGCAGCGAATTCATGGAGGGGTGGTATCACCTGCTCCGAAGACTGAACAACCAATTCATATCACGAAAGCTAGTACCGCCCCCCTCGCGGGTTCAACTCCTCCCTGGGACGTCTCTGGGACGTGTGTATTTCCGCTGGCATGGGGCCGACTGTCACCTGCTTCACCCCCGCTCTGCTAGTTTTCGTCACCAACCCTCGGCCTCAAGTTATTTATCCCTATAAAATCCTGCTGAGCGGCGTTTGGTGTCGAAACCAACCC